GGAGGGTAGGCAGGCCTTCAGGTCTGCGCTCTGGGGCCCCGGAATCCTCCTGGATGGGGGGGATGTGTGGGTGGGGAAACCCCTCGGCCGCAGGGAGCAGCCAGGCGCCCCTTCGCCCCGTGCGCGGCTGCACTTTACAGACACTCCCTAGACGGTTTCCAGGCTCCCCCCACGTCCCTCTTCCAGCCGCCTCCGGCCCCTCGGACCCCAGCCCGGGAGCGGCGGGGCGCAGTGCGAGGAGGGGCTGCCGTGCCTTTTCCCAGGCCAGCCTGGGACCGGTGCCGTACCTGGAAGTGCCCCCGGCTTCCCACGGACCCAGCGGGGCAGGCGACCTGGCTTCGCGCTCAGGTCGGGGCGCTTGTTTATGAGAAGAATTTCCTTTCTTAAAAGGGCAACGGTGCGAGTGGGGCCCGCCAGGAGAGAAGGGAAGGACAGGTCTGGCGCAACCGGGGCAACGGCCGCAGAGGGTGCCGGGGCAAGACAGCCGGCCGCCCCCTGCTCCGGGCTTGGCACCGGAGAAGATGGGGCCCTTTGCGAACTGGAGAACCGGATGGGTGGGGGCCGCTCGTGAAGAAGGGGCTTTCTCCGGCTTCCCGGAAGTGCCCCCAGCTGTGCCCCTGCACACCCCCTGGTCCATCCACTGGGCTTTAGTGGGGCCCAGTCTCGAGGACGGTTGGGGGCGGGAGGCGAAGTTCCAAGTTAAAGATGTCAGCTCTCCGGGAGTGGGGGAGACAGCTAAGTAAACAAGTCGCTGCATAGCAGGATGCGGTGGAGGACCACGCCAGGGAGGCCAGGGCCAGAGAAGGGCACTGACTCTTGCACAGGATGTTGAAGGCCAGATGGGCAGTCCAGGGAGCATGAGTGTGCCAGGAGCCGGGGGGTGGGCGAGGACCTGTGTGTGTACAAATGCCGAGACGTTAAACCTTCCTGGGTGTTCTTAGACCTTGTGGGTAGACTGGGGGGACCGAACCCCAGAGGCCCGGGCAGGCTGGTCCTGTGAATTGTTGAGTCTGAGCCTTAGAACCTGGGGGCAGAGAAGACTCCTGACGGCCAGCTCAGGTGCCACCCCAGGCCTGGCTGAGGGGCGAGTGATGAGGTCAGGCCAAGGTCAGTCATTTCTGGACAGGGAGGCCCCTACTCAGCTGCCCCAACCGACCACACAGCAGCTCTGATCCTCCCAGCCCCAGGCTCAGAGCTAACTTTAGGGGGGAGGGGATGCAGTTTTTTTTTCCTGGAAGTTCCATTTAGCCCCCTCAGGGAGGGGCTGCCCACCCCTCGATAGTCCCCAGAAATCTCTGCAGAGGGAACAGTGTCTTTCTGCACTGTTCCCCAACCCCCTGAGTTGGGCTTTTTACCAGCCCCATTTGGCAGATGGGGAAACTGAGGTGTTGGATAGAACAGATGCTTAGGCAGCCACAGCTGCCAGACAGGACCCCACTGAGTCCCTTCCTAGCACCTCCCTGTTTCCGACTTGCAGCCCCCAGGACTTTGTTCTTCCTGGGGAACAAACCGAAGACAGATTTTAAAATTGTGTAGGTAAGCCAGGTGTGGTGGCTCAAGCCTGTAATCCCAGCACTTTGGGAGGCTAAGGCGAGAGGATTGCCTGAGTCCGGGGGTTCGAGACCGGCCTGGGCAACATGGTGAGACCTCCTCTCTACAATAAATCAACAAAACCAGTCGGGTGTGGTGGTATGTGCCTGTAGTTCCAGCTACTCGGAAGGCTGAGGCGGAAGGGTCACCTGAACCCAGTCAAGGCTGCGGTGGCGGTGAGCGTGCTACTGCACTCCAGCCTGGGCAACAGAGTGAGACTCTGACTAAAAAGAAAAAAAAATTGTGTAGGTAAAGCGACCTCCCGCTGCTGGGATAGAGGAACACAGCAGCTGGGGATGGACTCCCATCCTACCGGCTTCCCGACTCAGCACCAGGGGAGGTCAGGCCTTGGAGCTGCTGGGAGGAAGTGAGGTCTTCCAGGCAGGAGATCTGCGCCAGCAGAGGCCAGAAGGGGCCATGGGGATGGGAGGGTGGCGCGATCCCCGAGGAATCCCGGGAGCGCAGGGTGGCCCGGGGACTGCGACGCGGCCGCGCCCTGTGTCCTGTCCTCGCGTCAGCGCCTCCGGCCCCCCACGGACAGCAGGCCGGGCTCCAGCCCTCTTCACGCGGGGAGAAGGAGGCGAGCCGCCCAGGTCACTGGCGAGGCTGGGGCTCCACTCAGTCCCTCGCCACCCACTTCCTTTTGGGGTCAGCGCGGGCGCGCATCCGGCGATCGCACGAGGCCTCACCCCGGGGCGGCCGAAGGGTGGACGCCCCGTTCCCCGGCCGCAGTCCCGCCCCTACCCTAGCTCGGGCACGTGGCTGCCCTCCTCTGGGCTTCGTGTCTTTATCTGTAAAGTGGAGTGAGACAGTGGTCGCTCCGAGGAGTGAGATAAGGGGGCGCAGCCGAGGGATCCCCACGAAGCGCTGGCAGCACGCTGGCGATGAAGAGGAGGACGTGCCGTGGCGGCGGACGCCGTGGGAGCGGGAGGG